CAGTTTTAACTGACATTTCATGTGTTAGGATCATGCGGTTTTATAAATCTATTGCTGAAGATAGTTTTGCATACTAATAAGTGAATTACAGTAGCACAGGGTTGTGGCAGATGGGTGGGTGTAGGACTGGATATCTTCCCAGTATGAGTCTTTGCCTTTTGAGTGCCAGAAAATCGTAAGGGAGGAACCCTCCTCTACTGCTGTAGGAGTCATAAGCGCCTCTTCTGACACTGCTGTGTATGACCATCAGAGCTTAAGGCTCTTTTCAGGCAGGTTTTCACATGGATCAAGCCTTCTATCAAATTTTTCTTTCCTTTGGTCTGAGTATGCAAAATTTCCTTAGTCCTTTCCTCCTGTTTCTGCTGTCTAAATAGCTATACTAGGGTCTTTTAAAATCCAAATATGAATCATATAAAATTATATCTTGGAAGGGACCTTTGGAGGATATTGGGTCCAGCCCCCTGCTCAGAGTTGATGAATTTCAATGCTACAGGTTTGCACAGGGTCTTTTCCATTCAAGCTGAGTAATCTGTTTCATTGCTTAACTACTCAGCAGGAAAATTTTTCCTTCATGTCCAGTAGGAATCTACTGTCTTGCAGTTGGGGATTGTTGCCTCTCGTCCTTTGCTGCGCGCTGCTGGGAAGTCTGTCTGTCTTCTCCACCCCTTTTTAGGTAGCCCAGAGGGTTCAGTTCACCCCCCTTCTAGTTGCTTGTGTTTTCAGGTAATGTTTGCATTCTGTCAGTGTAGGCACTGAAAATACTGCTGGTAAAGAAAATACCTGTAAATCACAAGAGAACAATAGAAGAAGTGACTAACGTTAAATTGATGAAAATTGCTCATGTACAAAGTTATCAAGATGACATTTCTAAATAACATCCTTGTAGGAGGATCTCTAATATCTTCCCTTACAGTGTCTCATAGGCTGGACATTTATAAGAGCCTCTCTCTTTAAATTAAGTTTATTCAAAGCTTAAAAGAGGATTTATGTCTTTCCTTGGGAAAATACAGCCTTTGGAGACTTCCTAAAAACAGTTCAGACTGAAGGGCTTTGGTTTTTCATGCATTTTACATACAAAAGTAGATGGTATCTGACAACCAAAGTGAGAAAGTCCATTCAGCTTACATCTACTCCTACTCGTGCTGCCAAACCTGGGCTAACAGATGCCATCATCATTTCTCCCATACCCACTTTTCCTCCTGGGATTACTGGTTGATCAAAATAGGTATTATGAAAGTGATACAAATCACAAGAAATGTGTCTACGTGCAAGAGAGAATGTGTGCGTATGTGTGTGGTTTTGGGAGTGTGGGAGAGAGAAATAGAATCGTTACTCTCTCCTCCCATAAGAGCCCATGTCTTATGACAGGTTAGGAAGGACATTTGCGTTTGGTGAGTTACTTTGACCTTTTGTGTAGAAAGTAGCCCTGTGGCACAGGTCAGATATACATGTAACTTCTACTGTATGTCTGTGTCCTGAGTTCTCCATGCGTTTCTTGTTTTCTGCTTATAGAGCCCTTCATCAAGGTATTCTGAGGAGATTTTACCAAATTATGTGCAGTCGTGACACAGACTGACTAGCTATATGGCCATGTGAGTTCACAATGCTTGAAATTAAATAATAGCTACTAGCACATTTCTTCTCTAGATGCTTCACTGGAAACTAGAAAGATCTTTAAGAATTATCTCTGTTGCCTTCTTGATTTCTTGTCATCCAAACACTACAGTTAACTCAAACTTGGTAACTTTGGTAAGAGGCTACACAGGTTTTACCATGGACATCATGCTACTAAGAAGCAGCAAAGATCATAATTATAAGCTGCAATATTTAACACCACCTCAGGAAACTTCCAGTCCGGCAGTACTGTTAAATAATCTCATCATCTCTCATTGAAGGACTTTGAGTTAAGGAAATTTGATTTTATTAAAATTTTTTTTTATGGTTTAGGGAGTTTTTTCGTCACGAACTAGATCCTGATCAACATGCCCAAGGATTAATTTATCTCCCTGTCTACATAGATTCTCAAGCAAGCATGGTCCAGCACTGCATTGGGCAGGATTATTATAGTTTTCTGTAGCTTCTTGTCTTGAGAGGGGAGAGAAGAGCTCGACTCATTATGAGAGGGTGTTTTTGATGTGTTTATGATAAGCTTGCATGAACACACATGCAATTTGATAGCCTGAGTTAAGAGAAAGAATCACCGTTTGGACTTTGATTATGTGCCTGGTTATAAGGACATGTGGCAGCTTCACCTGTAAAAAATGGACTGTAAAAATAGGAAATTATATCAGTTGCAGCATTTTACCCATGAGGACTTGTGTAGCTTATAGAAAAATAGAATAAGTTTAGTACTAATCTGTGCATCATCGTCATTGTTCCCCCCCCTTCCCATCCCATGCAGCTCAGAGCACACACGTACGGTGCCTGCCATAATCTCCTTTTCTACTTGTATTCCAGTAATCCTTTTTCCTCCTTATGACTGCTTGCATTCTAATACCTAGCCTTTTTTCCCCTCTTCCTCCTATGCTGGTCATATCAGAAATGTACAAATTGTCTGATGTGACAGTACAACTCTTTGAGACAGAAGTAGCAAAAGAAAAGTTTCCCTGTGTATGCAAGAACGTGTGTCTATGACACACTCATCTGAACTCTGCCTAAGCAGCCACCTTGCCTTGGGAGTCAGCAGGGGATTTCCATGGTGCTGTTGGTGACTTCTGTTTTTTCCTTCAAGACCTGCTCAGCTGGCCTTTTAGATAAGTTTTATCTTACAATACAGATATTTATCTTGTAATAGGGATTTATATCTTATGAGAGGGGTAAAAAAATTAGTTGAAGCGACATGTTTAAGAAAGTAAAAAGTAACATTGTTGACCCAGGCAACTAAATTCAGTCTTGGCTTTACTGCCTCAACATAGAAGAAGGTGATTTCTGAGACATAGTTTCTTCCTTTTCCCACCTACAAAAATAATATATGCTTTTCTGGGTTAGTTTTCTTTACGTGAAACAGAAAGACTAACAGATATCCATCTCTGTAAACAAAGCAGAAGAAGATGCATCTATAAGAAGCAAACTTTTTGATACTAGATAATGAAGAAAAATAGTTTGAAGAATATCATATGTGTAATTTATTTCACAGTTGGTTTCTCACCTGTCAGACAGTTTCAGTGCCCTGAAATGCAAGTGCATTAAATTAACCAAAATTGTCATCATCCATTTGGTTTGATTAAATGTATCAGTGACATGGCAAAGTTAAAACAGTAGAGACCCTGGAAAGATAATGTCATTACAAAAAAAATAAAAAAAAAAAAAAAAAAAACAACCAAACAAACAAAGTCGTTAAATCCTGCTTGGAAATCTGACCCTGATACAGCAAAGCGCTTAATCTCATTATTTAAGCATATGAGTTCTTCCCTCTCTAAACATGCATATTGTCCCACTGAAGTAAGGGTGAGATTAAGTGAGTTTCAAAGTTTGAGGTGTTCAAGTGAGTTACCATAGAGTACAGCACCTATCATACCAGAGCCTTCATTGATCTGACTGGGGACACATCCTGCAAGAAGACTTATATATTATATGGTGTTTTTGTAGGTGTTCATGTGGTGCAAGTTCAGTGCAACCCAGGGGTTCAAAATGTAGTCAGAAAATCATTGTTATGGTTAGATACAAAGAGCTATAGTGTTTTATACTGTAAGGTGCAAATCTTTTTGTAATTGCAGCACAGAAAAAACAGAGGTATAGAAGAGCAGGTTAAAACAATCATATGGAAAAGTATCAGATGTCAGAAGTTCTGCAGTTGAAAGGTTTTATTGATAAATTATGCCCTCAATTTGAATAGACTTCAAAATCTGTAGTCAAAAGGAATTACTGTTTTATCCTACATTGATAAAACGTCTTACATGGGTATTTATTTTCATGTGAAAAGCTACTGGATGATACAGTACAAAACTTACACTTTGCTTCGCTGTTTTATTGGAAGCAACTACTCCTTTACAGAGGCAATGGCTCTTCAATCAATGAGTAATTAGGTGTATTATGGATAGTTTTAGAGCATAAGCACCAGGTTCATCTTTGTGGGTATGTCACTGCTACAGACTTAGTCACTAAAGTTACCTTGTTGTTTCTTCCTGCAGAAAAATTGTGATAAAAATGAATTTATGCAATACTGCTGGTCTTAACTAATCTGCTGGTAATGTCTACTCACTAATCTTTTTAGAGAGCAAGGCCAAACCTCTGCTTCCCTTGTTCCCAGGGTTTTGTGGGAGTCTAACTGAACCTTAAATGGGAGAAAGGATTGTCCATAGTAGATTATGGATCTGCATCAGGAACACGAAGCTGACAGGGTTGATGTTACAAGGGCTATAATTAGTCTTACACCCGTGGCCCACCTTGTTTCAGTGGGAGATGAGACCTTTCTTTCCACAGTGCTCATCATCTTCCATGATTCCCATCCCTCATGTATAACATCCTTCTACACTAGGAAATCAGTGCTGCTTGGCAGAGGGGAGCTTTCCCCTTGGAAGATTTTCTTGGGGGAACTTCTCTGCCACATGTCTTCTGATGCCTTAAATCCATTTTATGTTGTATGTAGCTTTTGTACCTGAGAATTGATGCTGTAATAATCTGTGTTGCTGGTGAGTTGCACATGGTGAATATACGAAGCAATTAACATGTGCCAGAGAACATGCCTTCACAGCAAATTTATTGCACTATAAGCTACTTCTGTTTCAGTGAAAAGCAATCATGTATATAGGAAAACAAAGAGATAGACCGCTGTACTTATGTTTGTGCAAGAAGAATTAAATGCAGAAAGTAGTGAAAAAAATTGACAAAAGTTGCTGTGTATGTTGTTTGTATAAATGGTAGACATAAGGACAAATTTGTGGTTTGTCAGTTTAATAGGAGCTCACTTGTCTACAAATACAATAACTACTGAAAACTAAAACCAAGTGGCTACTCCAATACTTCTTTATTTCTTTTTGTATTCCACCGATGTTTTGCAGCTGTGCAATGGTGGATCTGTGACTGATCTTGTGAAAGGATTTCTGAAGAGAGGCGAAAGGATGAATGAACTTATAATCGCTTACATTTTACGTGAAGCTCTGATGGTAAGATAAGTTCTCAGTAAAAGGACAGTCAATATTCAGCTCGTATTTTTTCTTTGAATAAATGGAGATCATGTCCCCACTAACATGGCTCACTATCTTGTATTATAGCAGTGTTTAATGAAATCAAATTAATGTGTAATTGAGATGGTTCTTTTTGAACAAGCAAGGTATAGAACAGTTAATCTGTTTGTTTCATTATTAAGAAAATGAAAACTGATTTCTGACCATTTATTAATTTCCTTAGTAAATACAGTTCTGCATCAAAATCACTTTTCTTTTAAGAAATAGCAGAAATATACACAAAATACTCTTCAACTTCTTATGTCTAGATCCAAAATATTTTTATAACAAAGTGATCCACAGGTCTACTGAATTCAAACACTATTACAGGAATTTTTTTTTTTTTTGGCTAATCAGGATCAAGTGTCTTTATTTTAAAATTTTCTTTTAACCAGAATTTGATTTTCTGCAGTGGAATTTAAGACTTAATAGTTTTCTTTGAGCTTATACTCTAAAGGCATAATTTATCATGTAGATTTATACTGCTTTTTTTCTACTTTTGTCTTAAAATTTCTTTTCAACATAAGTGAGGTAGTCAAAAAATGTCTATTCCTCATGGTGTGCCAAGTGTTTTTATAGAAAGAATGATATCTCTGTGAATGAAAAAAAAAAAAAAAACAAAACAAAACTGTTTTATGTTTTTTCATACTTTTCTTCTCCTTTTTTGGTTTCTACAAATGTAATACAGAGGGCAGAGCTGTTAGTAAAAAGTTTGTGTTTACATCTCACCTTTCAGGGACTTCAGCATTTGCATGAAAACAAAACTATCCACCGTGATATTAAGGGAAATAATATCCTTTTGACCACTGAAGGAGGAGTCAAGCTTGTGGATTTTGGTATGTTATGTTTACTTATATAATACAACCAATGTTGTACATCTGACGTATGAAAAATAAAATACAGTAAAAAAATCAGAAAATATTAATTCTATTAAATTTTTATTAAGCTTTTGAGTTCTTCATTAAAAATCAGTTGGATAACCAAAGTTACTTCTTAACTAGATGGAAATAAAGCAGTCACAGAATCAGTGGTTTTACAACTTTGGGTTTTCCAGCAATTTTGCTAATGCTGTTTTGATAGCATGGCTAACAAATAGAAGTTATAATATGGTGGTAATAAGTGCCAAATACTTTGGAGCAGACACAGTAAATGAAGTGGCCAAATGAGTTATTAGGGTTCAAAATAAGGTGGTTGTTTAGTTCTTCCAGGACTCTGTGCTGGTTCAGTGAAATTAGGAGCTGATAGGCAGAAGCTTCATGTTGTATATGAGAGGATTTAGAACTTAATAGATATTGTGAAGGATGGGAGAGCTCCACCTCAGTCACATATACTTCATTAGATTGATTTGAAAGAAAACAACAGATACTGTCTGAAGGCAGTATAGGGGGAGATAATATATAGGTAATCCCCACTGTCCAAATTCTGGGAAGACTAACAGATTACTTTTGGCAAGTCTAAACCTGAGAATTAACATTAAATGAAAAGAGTCTGTTTAAGTCTGTTAGGCCTAAACTGATTCTTGAATGCTGTCATCTGGTTTCACCACCAAAAGGGTAAAAGCAGAGACACAGGTAAGTGGATGCAACCTGTTATATATCAGCCACACCACAGTGATTTGCCTTAGAAGTGTATTGATAGGGTTTTTTATATAAGTGGGGTATAAAAATTTGCAATGCTTGTTATTATGAACTATTATCTTCTGGTAGCACGCTGGCTTCTAATGTTTAAATTCAATTTATTTGTCACTACTTTGCAGCATAGAAAACACTTATAAATACCATGATTCCATAAAGCAGATGAAAAATCTTTATTTTTCCTTTACCCTCCTATTTTGTTAATGAGATTTATTCAATTGATACATAATTATTTAAACTAATCATGGGATTTTAACTCCCATTAGTGTCATGTCTTCCTGCCAGTAGATTGTATTTATTCAACTCTCCTTACTTCACCCACAAAACCCCCACAACTATTAGGGTTACTAATTCTTCTGAAAAGTCATGTATTTATTATTTTATTCCTCAGATAAAATCTTCTGTAGAAAAGTCTTAGACTTCTTAAATTATCTGCCATACACTTACTAGTATTTTCTGATACTCTGGAAGTTTAATGTGAGACAAAATCAATATTTTTGCCCACAGGTTTTTAATGTGTTGTGGATGCTAATTTTTTGAAGGTGCTGAAGGCAATTAGAATCGTGGAGGATCGATGCTTCTGAGAATTAGTTCACTTATGCAGATGTCAGAACATACAAGCTGTAGGGATGAGGACCTGAATTCTTTGTTCCCCAGTTATTACAATCTACTGCTAAAGCTGTAATTGAAAAATAATCTTAAAATCTTGTGGGAAAAATTGTGATACCAAAGCACAGATGAGAATGTGCACAAGGAACAAACATACACACACATTTATGTGAGTTGAAGAGGTGCCTGTAATATCTGCAATTCCTTGTCTCAAAGGAGTATAGGAAGTGTACCTTAATTTAGGTATAGATAGAAATTTTCTCTGGCGCTTTTTTTTTTCTTCCCCCTAAAACCACTCTGAAGCCAATAACGAGTAGTTTCAAATGGAATCATCAAAATCATCATGGAAGACATTCAGCCTTCAGGCTGTTGTTTAAGGTATTCAGCTGGGGTTTGGGAGATTTGTGTCTTCTATTTAGGAGGATTTAAACTCACATTAATCAGATTCTAAGAGTAATTTTTAGCCAGGAATGTGAGTTGATCAAAATCCTTCGTGTTGGCACTGCTACAGAATGTTGTACATAAACATTTATTGGATCAGGGACTGAAACCCATAGTCATCTTTTATTATATAAGCCTATGAATCTGCAGGCTACAGAATGAGAGAGACATACAGGCACAATCACCTTTTCTCTCAGTAAATACTCAGTGGAAGCAAAATTTTTGTTTTATGTTGAACCAATTATTACAAACAAAAACAACCCAAATAATCACACAGCCCTTTCTAGCATGCACACAGTTTTTCTGTTGTGAAAAGGAGAGCAGAGACAGTGGATCAAGGACTCCTTCAGCCACCAAACACACTTAACAGAGCAAGTGAGCCCTTTCCAAGATAATTTTCTCTGCGCCATTCTCCTGCTTGCTGGTTGATGATGAGATGTTCCTAAAGAATCCTTCGCTCTCCTCCCCTGATACTTTTTACTGTGGTTTTCATGTCAACACATACATAAATCTGTATCTGAAAGATGGACCTGTGAAGTGCCTTATGGAGCACAATACTAGAAGAGGACCTATTCTCTACTTGTATGTATTGTGTGGTCATATAATTTGAACTTGTGTCTTCTTTTTTGTCTTTTTAAATTTTTTTTAATGTACAGTTAGGAACTGTTTAAGAGTCATAAGTGAAAAAACAGTTAAGTTTCAGTTAATTAAATCACCTTTGAGTGGCTTTTCTTTTCTTTGTTCTTTTTGTGCTCTTTGAACTTGGTGTATAGTGTGCCATCACTGTGAGTCCTTTCTTGCACAGCAGTACTGACTTTCCAGAAGCTTCATTTTGGCACAATTTATACACATTGCCTTATGGCTGTTGTGTCATACGTGTTTATGAATGCTGTGACCATAGTTTCTGAACACTGCACAGTCTGTAATGGATGACCTTCACAAGTCTGATTCCCATTAATAGCTGGGGATCTAAAACTTTGAGACACTGTGTTGCTTGAGGTGACACAGAAAGCATGTGGAAAAACTCTCCAAAAATCCAGGCTAAAAGTCTGAACTGTTTGCCTTTCATAGAGGTATTGATAGTGAAAGAGATGAGAAGGTCTTTGAAAGAACATCATGGCAGTGCTTCACCCAGATTGCTTTGAGGAGTGAAATTTTTGCTTTACCTTAAAATTCTGCTGTAATATTGTTTAATCACCTCAGTAATATTCTTGTATCTAAGAAACACCCAATCTCAGTTGATAGATTAATGATCAGATCAAGTAAATTAGTTTATAACATCTCCACACCAATGCTTCTGGAGCTAAATTGCTTATCAGGGTGCTGTCAGATAGAAGTTTTAGTTTAAACTGTCCAAGCCACAAGAAGTTTGAAATACTGTTACCTCTCTCCTCACTTCCATCCAGTAAGATAATTTACATCAGCTGAGATAAACCAAATCATTCCTTTTTACTGCAGATAACAAGTAGCAGCCAAGGTGATCTACTCTAAGCACATCTTGTGATCACAGATTCAGTCCCTGAATTCATTATACTTCTAGATACATTAAAAGTCCATATTTTGATTGTAAGAGAAGAAGGTTGACTGAAGGCAGTTTTGCTACCTGAACATTTGTGGGAATCAGCTGTTAAGCTGTTCTGGTAGAAAACTTTTGGGACAGGATGTTACACCTGAGAATTGCAGCAATGACGGTCCAAGCAAGGAGCATCCTGTTCTACGTCAATACAAATAATAAATAGCTGCACTATATTTAAGTATAGCTGCTGTGTTTTCAGTACAGGATAGAGGTCTAATAGAAAAATATACATTTACATTAGAGTAGATTTCCTGCAGCACTTTAAAGGGTGACAGCTATATAATTTATTGTATAAAAAGAGTTGGAGGCAAGCAAGGTGTGAACCGAACTCCCTTTTTATAAATAATTATATTCACGGTTGCTTATTAATGTTCTGGGAAGGAAATCTTTTATATCTGTTTCTCAGACTTCTGGTTGTATGCAATGGATTGATGTTAAAGAGACAGATCTTAAAAGAAATTTTAGCCACTAAAGATGCAGAAAAGCACCTAGGAAAATTTTCAAAAACTTCTAGCATGTAAATCTAAATTAATTTAATGCTAGATACCTTTTGAAAGTCTTACGACAAATGTATCTGGAGCCTTTACTGCCTAAACATCTTCCAGTGTTTGACCTTGTTTCATCAGTTAAAAAACTGGCTTGAAGTCACTTGCACATATAGCACACCTCATCTGTAATAAAAATTCATGTATTCATCTGCATCTTACAATGTATAACCAATTTCATAGGGAGCTGAGCATGTAACATCTGCTTATGCTGGCAAATACTTGCTTCTTTGAATAGTCACTCTGAATTCAGTTTCTTTTCTTGAAATCAGGATGCTGCACAGGGCCTTTCATGTATTAAATAATGTTAGTCTAAGACACAATTCCTGTTTTGAAATTCTGAGATATCAAATAATGTGCTCTTCCAAAATGGGAGAAAAGAAAATTAGCTGTATTATTATTGTTGTTATTTTAACTTTGGTCTGAAAACGTCCAAGTGACATTTCATTTTGCAAGATTTGACATGTTTCTGAAATCCCCTGCCATTGCAGTGAGCCTGGGAGCTTGAAAGCCAGAGCTTTTCATGCCTATATGTGATTGAAAGAAGAGGATCCTAGAGGACACAACTCCCTGTCAGCAAACTGGACAGGTTGCTGAAGTGTGGGGAGTCATAGAGGAAAGAACCATTTTTCCACTAAAAGTTTCGAAGCATCTACAGTCACATGGCAAGTGATTCTTCCAGCTAAAAAGAGGAGAGTGTAATGCTGATGGAAGATTCCTCTTCAGCTATGGTTTTGAGGGTTGACCTTGTAGGCTGGTATTCTTGAACAAGAGGCACAGGTAGCTCATACTTCTATGGGACTGCTGAAGCCTGCTGTCACAGACTAGAAATATCTCCGAATGAGCAGCTGTTGCCTTGGAAATGTCCAGGAAAAAAGCAAGTATAAATTGTACTCCACCACTTAAGCAAATGCATAGTTTTCCAGCAGCAGTGTTCTTTGCTGAAGGCCATGTCCTTCTGTGCATCAAATGAAAACATACTTTTATACCACATGTAATTACAGTGTTGACATTATTACCATGAAAGGTCA